TCCGATGTTTCTGCGAATGCGAGGGGATTTGTTACGCTTACGCCAGCGAGGACCCGCTCGCGCACACGACGCATGCACACACTACGCATCACACGCCACCACGCACACACCGCACACCACGCCACCCACGCCACAACGCCACAGCACACATTACACACACCCACGCACATTAAAACACACACTGGCACGCACGCACACTCACGCACGCGACGCACGCACAGAGCACCACACACGCACTACGCCACGCACGCACACACACACGGCACGGCAGCGCAACCAAACAATCACAAACACACACCACCACACACAACTCCTTCTCTCTCACGTGAATGAACGGCGGTGTGGCAATCGAGGCTCGAGTCGTACGGTCGTAGCCGCTAACGATGGGCTTGACGTGCGAGTGCCGTGGGTGCTGCTGACGAGCCTGACGGCGTGGTCGTCCTTGTGCGACAGCACCAGTCCCGCGGAACCGCATCTCCGGCGGCGCACTCTGTTATCGACAGGATGTAGTTTACGCGTCGCATTCGCGTTCGTTCGCGGCGCGATCGTCGCGTTGCGGGCCGCGGTCGGCGCACCGCGTCGTCGCGAACGACGGTGAGGTCTGTCGAGACTTGAACGACGGCAGCGCATCGCTCTTCCCTGGACGCTGAAATGTCGGAGTATGTGCGGTGCGTGCTGGCGTCGATGGTGTGCGTATACAGACAGGGCGCGATTGAAACTGCAATCATAGATATTAGGGCCGCGCGCTCTCACCGCGGCCATACAAGGTGGCAGCTATAACATTAGAGATCGCGGCGCTGGCGATGTAATTTAATTTAGCTTGCCTAATTAAGCGGGCGAATTGCATTGCGTTTTGACAATTTTAACGGCTTGCTGCGTTTACGATGATTAACACGCGGATTGCTAATCCGGTGACATTTTTAACGGCTGCGTGTTTACTAGATTAACGGCTCCGTGGTGTTATATGGGCGTTTAGCCGCCGCCGTAGCTTTTGCTCGCTTGCTCGAATATATTGGCACACAGCCTTCGCGCGAATGAGAACTATATATATATATATATATATATATATATATATATATATATATACGACTGTGGGGCAACGCTCGACCTAAACCACAGTGTGACGACAGGTCCTGAAACCCGCCCACCGTCGAAAAACAATGGCGCTCTTTGTTTTCCGCCATTGCTCGCCGTTTGCGCGTGGATGCGCAGACGTGAATGCGGTATATCCTTGTTCAGAGCGGTCTTCGGATAATCCAAAAGACTGCTAACCCAGTTACCCCGCGTCTTCGCGCTCCCGCGCGCGCGCGTTAACTTACGCGAGAAAGATTTCGCAGTTCGAAAGTCTTCCTCAAGATTAATCTGTGTAACACAGACGTGTCTATGCTATGCCCGCTACAATGACTATATCTGCTCTAATTAATCCAAAAAAGACGTCGTAGTAAAAACGGCTACTAGTGTTTTTTTTTAGTGAATCGGCTTTCGTGTTAGCATGCAGTAGAAAACACGCCGCTATTGTATATATAGAAGTTACGTGGTTGTAATGTTGTTCGGGGTGCGAACATACGTCGGAAACGCAACAATAGTTCTGATGACTATCTCGCAAGAGACAAATTTCATAGGAAGAACGAGAGACGTTCTTTATCTTCGACGCAGTATGGACTAGTGAAAGTAAAATCGCAAATATACCTATACGTTGTTCAATTATTTTGTGGCTTTTGTGGAAAAATATCTCAAGGCGTGCCTTATATTGAGGAATCACATAAAACCTTAACGCCTACGTTGTAATTTCGTCGATATTTCAGCGAAGTTTTTCGTTCATTTTAATGTTTGCCGTCGATACTGCATCTATTTCCGCGTGTGTGCAAGCTAAATATGTAGACTGAAAAGAAGCGGGGTTCTTAGTTTTTCATGTCGGTTTAATTCGAACTGCCACAGTCGAATCCCGTCTATGTTTATGCATGGCTTGTCAGTTTAAACGTATAAAGCGAATTTACGAGTTCTATGTAGCGAGTTGCGCATCTGGTCCCAGTACGGTTTCCCTGCGTAATGATTCATCGTCACATAAATTAGTGATGGCGTGGGGAGGGGGGGGGTAAATGCTAATATTACTGCAATGTTTAATTTTATACCTATTGCACCACTAACTTTACGCTGGTTTAGGCGTTTAGGCGCTCAAGGCTCCGCTTACGGCTAATAAGGCCGCTTAAGGCCGCTTAAGGCTAACTTTAGGCGCTCTCTCCTAATAAGCCACGCGCATGCGCATCGTGCGCCGATTGTTTTTTTTTCTAGTTCGACCTATACAAAGTTCAGTATCCTTCAATGGTATATATGCGATTCTACGCCCCACGGAGGAAATATAGCGTCCCCATAATTACACGCCAGTGACTTTCTTCCCTCTCTCCCTTCCCTCCCTCCCCCTTCCCTCCCTCCCTCCTTCCCTCTCTCCCCCCTTCCCTCCCTCTCCCCTGGGTCTCTTCCCTGCTGTTTTAATTAAAGTGCTATCACTTATACGACATGTTCGAGCGAGTTTAGCGAATCGCGCTAAAAATGTACGCACATTATTATTGCTGTTTTGCAGCGAGTAGTTAGTTTACATTAAGAAATCCACAGATGAGAAGCTACACGAGACTATGAATTACTTCTGCACGCTGCTACAGTAAAATCTTAATCACGGCGTGCATATTAAATAACCGATTGCTTTGAAGCAATCGCCGTCAACAAACAGCAGTGATTCAACGAACAGTTTATGAATGTTCAACGCCGATTTCCCATAGGAACATACGCGAGCATACGCTTCCCTTGAAGTATGCTAGTCGCTCGATTTCCGCGTATGCCCATCTTTCTACGAGCCATTGCCTCCAGGCGTTGTGTAATGCTACAGTACTCTGACCCATGCTCGCTTTAAATATTGTAATTATTAAACGTCCAGCACTGCAATGACCTTAACCGATTCCGAACAAGCATTCCATTGTTATCGCCGCCTCGCCTTGTTGAAATGCTGCGAACTATAACATTGTGGCTAATTTGTACCTGTGCAAATCCGCGGTCCACGCCCGCTGATTCGGAACGTCGCTACGTCCGGGTTAAATCGCAAAATAACATTGAAATACATGTGCTCTCTCATGAACGCCTATGAAGTTTTTTATATATACTATTATGCGATATTATATGTCTATTATGTGTAGAGATTATGGAAAAATGTTACTATAACTAAGAGAACGTTGTTATATTTTATCTAGTATTATATCTTAGGCTGCAATTTAAGTGTCGAGCTATTTGATGAATTCTTTGAACGTAGTCGTAGAATGTTTACCAATTCTAAAAACAAGAAAAAATATGATTTCTTAATTTATGAGCAAAACATATTAATATAGTATATAGCAAGTAAACTATATCAAATACAAGTGGTAAAATACTTGGACTAATTGTAATTGTTCTATTATTAATATTACTATTATTATTATTATAATTATTATTATCATCATCATCATCACCACCACCACCACCACCACCATCATCACCATCATCATCATCATCATCATCATCATCATCATCATCATCATCATCATCATCATCATCATCATTCTTATTAAAGGAAGAAGATACACGCATCGTAATATTATAACTAATCAAACGTAATGAAGTCAAATCGCGGAAGAATCTTACACGAAACCAAAAGCACGAGCTCACTTATCCAATTTAATAATAATTTACTTATTTGTAATTTTAATAATATGAATGGGATCAGCCCTAAAATGGAATTACTCTATACACGGCTACGATAATTAACTATTCATAAAATATTTTATAAAGCAGATTTGTCGACGGGTAAAAAGAAGAAGCCACATAACCCAAATGAGGTATAGAAGGTTCACAGGCACAACAAAACAATTAATTTGATTAAACGAAATCTTTCCCAACGGCGTTTCGACGTGTTCGACGTTTTTAATTTCGAATTAATAAACTAATGAAATTGAATAATAATATAGGGTAATCGTATAACCAGCAGAAAGACGAGCTTACATGAGATGAATAAAACGAAATATATGCATCCAGCATACTATAAATAGCGTTATTATTCTTAACGCTACTATTCCTGTGTATTGCATCTATATATCATTTACGATTCCATTGATAGTCAATTTTAAAGTGAACATACAACCCTGATCGTATGCATGCATGCTATTGCATGCGCCTTTGACGTTATTGATTTCAATTATACGAGAACATACACAAATTAAAAACGCGCTGAGAAATTCAATGAGCTTAACCAAGCGAACTAAGCGCATCTGATCAAAATGATACCGACACGAGTCGTCGTTCTTTTAAGCATACACAATTAACTTTAAACCATTGACCATTACCAGCTGCCGTTTAGTGGTTAGTGCTGTAGCTGACATATTAGAGCGTGGACCAACAGCAGAAGCCACTTTGAGATTATAGGGGCATGTACTAGCTAAATAACGCAAAACGTAAACTTGTTATGAACTTGCTTTATGCAAACGTTATCATTACGATTTCATGAATTGATGGGCTTTACATCACTAATCGCGTTCAATTACTTACTGTATCGTCGAGGAATTGATGTAAACAAATGTCGATGTCACAAAGATTTTAAGGTGACGCGACAAACGCTTAAACTGCTGCGGATTTTTTCACGAATTCACATGTAAATGCGAGTAGTTTTTTAATTTTCGGTTATTATTTAGTCTCACACGAGACAGAAAACGTTTGATGTAAGCCGCCTTTACGTTTTCATTAACCATGTCATGTCAAAAATGCATACCCCTCGTTAACGAGCAATTCCTTCAGGCAGTCTTCAGACAGAGTTCTCCGTGCCTTCCTAAGCTGATTACGTAATTAAGGCTTAATGTCGTTAGAATGCTTGGCGAGACTCATTAGCATTTTATGTAATCACATTGATAGCGTGCTGCAGAAATTTGTGCTAAAACGTATATATTAATATTGCAATAATTGGAAAATCCTCAGATTAGCTAATCCATATGCAGTAATTCAGCTGCGTTAATCAACCATGTAGCAAGTTATTTCCGTAATGAAATGAGGTTTTGTTGCATAACGTGGGTGTGATCTTTTATGCAAATCTTTATGTCTAGTAATTCTGTCAGTTATTGCCTTAAATTTAATCAAGGAATCTCTACTTGATATGCTATTTGAATATACTTTACATTGAATTCACTATCTTAATAACTACAAAGTAACTATAACATGAAACCTATATATATAAACTACTAATATACAACTTTGATAACGCGTGTATCTATCTATCTATTTATTTATCTCTCTCTCTTTCTTGTCTCCTCGTCTCTCCTCGCTCTCATCTCTCTCTCTTAATATATATACTACATATTATAGGTGATATTATTAGTATATATAATATGACTATATAACACAGGCACACAGACCGGCGGGCAGT